ACAAACCCCGGCGCAAATATCTTTAAAGGCGAAGCAGCTTCTTTCTCCTTCGACGCACAGCGCGGCAGCAGAGACCCTTGGCATTCCAAGACACCAATTGCCCTGATCTTGAGTCAACACTGCACTCGTTGATACGCCACGGGGCCCACCCACCGTTGAATAGGCCACAGCGAAGTGTCTGTGGCGCGAAATACGCGTTGGAATGTGTCACTAATGCTTTGTTGTCAATCCCAAGTCTGGCAATAGCTGCACCGTCCCATCTGGGTTTGTGTGGCAGCGGAAGCGTTGTCCCCGACCTCCACACTGACGATAGGGATGGCGCTGCAGGACACGATCCCGTCGTTGCCCACCTTCCTGAAGAGATGCCCCCCGTGCCGTTCTCCAATTATTTGAACGAGCTTCTCCGTCTGGATTTCACGCCGTCATGTTTTGGGGCTCTAGTCTGCATTGATGTAGAGCGGGGCGACGGCGCCACTGGTGTTGCCGCACGGGAAATGCCCCCCCCCCCCCCCCCCCGGCGGAGGTTCCTCGCCAGGGAAACGCTGCGAGAGGACGCTGCAGCGTCGCCCTGGACCCGCAAGTAGAATCGCCTGGGTGGCACGTCACCGACCAGCTCCACGTCCGAAATGGCCACACCAGCCGCATTGATTCCTGGTTCCATGGCCCTACGGACCTCTGATGGCTGCGCTGCTGTCGCTGCACCGATGGAATAGAGGCGAGGGTCTGGCGGGCGATCCCAGACTGCCAGCGCCGCCATGTCGAGCGGTGGGAGCGTCGCCTCTGCCATAGCGAGGCTGGCCTGGACACGCTCGACGTCGGCGCGCAGCTGCTGATGCTCCTGCTCGACAACATGGGCTCTCTGACTGATGTCCCTGACCGTGTAATCCAATGTGTTCAGCCGCGAACCCTGCTGGCGAGCTTGACCGATGATTGCTCGACATTCATTTTGAAGAGTGGGCGTGGCCGGTTGCCGGATAGAGGTGTTCTCTGCCTGGAGCCTCGATGTGGCCAGCTGCATCTGTTCGGTGAAAATGGCCGCGAGCCTGGCCTCCAGCGCCAGGCCTGCCCCAACGCCATGGCGTGGATGGCCCATCGACTGGAGTAGCACTCACATGTGCCCATGGATCTCGATCACGAAGCGGGTCAGCACGGGGCCTCTCAGCATCTGGGAATGTGGGAAGGTCGTCGACTCCCTCCATGAGCTGACAAACTTCTGCTGCCTGTGGCTGCTGCTGCTGAAATTGGTGTCTAGATGCACCTCCGCCCGAGCTGCCTGACCGACGAGAACCTTTGTCACGCCCCCCCCTTCTCGTTGCCGAGCTGGCGGTTCCTTTGGCGCGCGACCTTGTCGATCGCGACGCTGTTCTCAGCTGGCTGCGAGAGTGGTGGAGACCGTTCGATCGCTGCGCGATCCACTGCGTGTTCCGCGGCGACGATGATGCGAGCGATGTTGCCGGGGAGCACTGGAATTGGATAAAGTGGAACCTGAGCCGCTATCAGAAGCCATTCGGTAGACAACTGGTGTCGCCGCGGGGATTCGACGAGGCGCGCTGCCTCTGTCCGAAGCGCGGCACAGGAGATATGGAGTGCTGAGACAGCTATGATATGGATGGCGAAACTTCGCAAGGGGTGGCAGCTCACCCCTGATTGGAGCTGCGAACGCATGAGCGCGAGACTCTGGATGAATGGATGGGAGCCTACCCCGCTTAGGTAATTAATGAGTTACCATCTTGGCCTTGAGCCAAAATGGCGACGGATGATGATGACGATGATGATGATGATGGTGGTGATGGTGATGGTGATGGTGATGGCGATGGTGATGATGATGATGGCAATGGTGATGGCGGTGATGATGATGACGATGGTAATAATGACGCCACCGACGCTGATACGGATTGGTAGGGTCAGGATGATGAAAAAAGTGCGCGCTCGCTGAAATCCCATGTCGCATGCATATGTCATTGGAACATCATTGGGTTTTCGTGTATGTGTTTGCAAGCCTATGTGGTGAACCGTTTGTAAAACCCATGGGGTTGGGAGGACTTCGACGCGCGCGAAGGGGGAAGACGCGCGCGTGGACGAAACGGCTAACAAGACACGTGTTCTACACGTGAACGCCTCTTGTCAAAACAAAACGTACTTGACAGCCTGTGAATGCTCAAGGTTTGATATTGCAGCTTGGATGTTCAATGACTTTGACGTGCGCGCGCGGTGGCGTGCGAATGTGCCGCGCATTAAATACTCTGCAATGGGTGATTCGAGAAAACGCGTACTAGATCAACGCATGTGCACCGCATGCGATTTTTGTCAGCGAAGAAGGGGCGATGTCGGGACTAGTTCGCGTACTAGGTTCTAGGTAATTAGCATGGATCATCACGTACGTCGCACAAGTACGAATAGCAATGTATTCCAACAAGGGCGCCGATGAGTCTGGCATCTGCAGGGGGCAGATTACTTTAAAAAAAAAAAGAAAAAGGAGAAAGAGGAAGGGGGCCACCGCGACGCACCACATGGACTCCCGCGCACTCCGTGGCGAAAAGCAGCATGGCAGGTAGTAGGCTGCGTGCCGGAGCCACCCCAGATTGGCTCGAAGAGGGCAGCCAGAAGAGGGAGAGGACGAGGGGGAGGGGACACGAGAAGGAAAACGGGGAAGGCACACGCGCACCAGTGCCAGGGCAAGACTATCACTGGACGATCCCTCGAACCACGCCGCGCTGGAGTGGAGGGGGCAGAATACAAACTAACGCAACGTGTTGACTGATACCTGCTGCACGGAGAAGGGCGGAGGGAGGAGGAGGAGGCGGAGGAGGAGAGAACAACTGAGGAAAATAACAATGCTCTACTCAGGTGCGCCCAATCAGGATGCCGAGGTCACGGCGGGAGGCCGCGCCCTCCTTGAACGCCTGCTGCCAAGCGTCGCTCGTGTCCGTCCCCTGGCCGTTCGGGGCTGCGTTCGTGGCCTTGAACGTGGCGTAGATGAGCAGCGCCTGAACCACGAACCCTGGTCCACCGTGAAGCGCGGCTCCAACATCAAGAACTCGTCCAAACGTGTGCGAGGCTCAGGAATCTCCAATCCGAGTCTGCGGCGTGCCAGGTCCGCAAGAACGCTGCAGAAAGCTTAGTGTTGTATGCTGTCTTGACCACAGCCGCAACCAAGGAGGCACTGGGATCTCCTCTGCATGCGACTGTGGGTTGTCCACCCATGAAGAATAGCTCTCAAGACCGCCGCCCAAACACACGGCGACGAGAACTTGCTGATCCCCTGGAGCATGGCGAACGCCCGGCTAGCCCTGTGGCCAGGGGGCAGATTACTTTTATCGGGGGCGCGCAAACATGGATCAACGATCCATGGATTTGGCGCGCGGTCGCCAAATCCATGGATCGGGGGAGGTGCCCTCCCCAAAATGCGGCCGGTGCCGCCTCGCTCGGCGGCGGAAATGCGCGGATCCCCACGGAAACGGGGCCCGTCGCTGCTCCACGCCCCCTTGATCCATGGGTGCGATCGCCTGGCGCGCCCCTCCTGGCAGGGTTTCCACGCTGCCGTTTGCATGCGGGGCGTCGACCTTCGTCGGCGCGGCAGGGGCAGGAGCGCACTGCAGAGCAACGCCTCGGACCCCCTGCCCGCGCTCGGAGGCCTTGCCCTCTTGCGGCGACGCGCGCGCCGTGCGCGGGAAGGGCGCGATCCATGCTTGCGATCGCCTGTTCTTATAAGCAAGGGGGACCGATCGGGTGCAAGATATGGGGCGTCCTCGGGGCGCCCAGCGGGCGGCAACGACCCACAAATCCATGATTCGCGCCCATACCCTTACGAGAGAGGCAAGGACCCCTTGGTACAGGCACCGTTGGGGAAAACATCGGAAGCGCACGGGCTGAGCAAGTACGGGCGGGTCTAATGTATAGTAGGGTGACTTCTTCTCTGTTTGTCCGCGCTGTCCTTCTCTCCAAGGCCACCGCGTCTCCCCCGCGGCTGCAGTGCGGCCACCCCCCGCGCGCCCGCGGTGAGTGCGGGTGCGGGGGGCACCCGCTTCAACATCTTTCACTCCCCTGGATACTCGGCGAATTCTGACGAGGAGGTGGGGTGAGCAAGCCCAGGAAAGCGTGGGTCTAAATGGATTCCTAACGCGTCTGCGGACAGGCCAAGCGGCGGCCATGCACGGAGGCACCGCGTCTGAGGCTGCCACCGCTTCGGGGGGGAGGACGAGGGAGTGGCCAGGGGGCCAGGGGGGGCGGCAGAGTGGGCGAGAGGGAGAGAGGGAGAGAGGAGAGAGAGGAGGACGAGGAAGAGGAGGGGGAAGATGAGGACGGGGAGAAAGGATCAAGCTGGGTGAGCGTGCCGCATCTGACATTCATTCGACCCATCCCACCAATCCCTTCCCTTTGCGCTGAATTTTCACCGATGCGCAATCAGAATGGGGAGCTCTGTACATTGGGGGCGCAGGAGGATGAGCAGGAGGAAAGCGAGGAGGAAGAGGAGGAGGAGGAGGAGGAGGAGGAGTACGACGAGGATGAGGAAGGAAGAAAAGGAAGGAGGAGCGGCAGCAGGAGCCCGAGCAGGAGCAGTATGTGCGGGAGGAGCAGGAGATGGAGGGGGGGAAACGAATGGGGGCGACAGCGACGAAGACAGTATCGGATCCAGAAGCGTAGCCGGCGTTGGGGGCGAGAGCGCCATGTTTTCTGAACGACGGGAGCAAAGCGCCGATCCTGAAGTGGGGCCAGCGCTGCAGAGGGAGCACAATTTCGAAAAAACAGAAGCGTAAATGTAGGCGAGAGAAGGGAGGCCCTGCTCGGACAGGAGAAGAGACGTAATCATATTGAGGAATTGAAGAGAAGGGGAAGAAGTGGAGGATGAGCTGAAGGAGGATACAAGAGGAGGAGAGCGGAGGAAGGGAGGAGGTTGCCGAGGGAGGCGAAGAAAGAGGAGCGGCAGCACGAGGCAGATGAGGACGAGCAAGTAAAGCATGCAGGAGGGGTCTCACCCGATTGCCCTCCCTCGACCCCGCCGCAAACGCCGCGATGCTGCCGAGGTTGTCCACGAACATCTGCGCCTCGGGTCCTCCTCCACCTCTCTTCTCATCCATCCCCTCGTCCCCCTCCTCGATCCTCCTCTTCCCCCTCCTCCTCCTCCTCCATCGATTGTCCTCCTCCTCCTCCTTCTTCTCCTCCTCCTCCACCTCCTCCTCCTCCACCTCCTCCTCCTCCACCTCCTCCTCCTCATCATCATACTCCTCCTCTTCATCATCCGTTTTCTTCCTCATCCTCTTCTTCCTCCTCCTCATCCTCCTCGTCCTCGTCCTCATCCTCCTTCTCCTCCTCCTCATCACCATACTCATCCTCGTCATCTTGTTGCTCCTTCTCCTCCTTCTCCTCCTCTTCTTCTTAATAATCCTCCTCCTCCTCCTCTTCGTCCTCCTTCTCCTCACAGGCCTACTCAATCCCCCTCCTCCTAAATCTCGTTATCCTAAATCGTCGGCATCCTCATTATCCACAACTGCGACGACTTCAACTACAACTGCAACTACAACTGCAACTACAACTACAACATCCACTACTACTACTACTACTACTACTACTACTACCACTACTACTACTACTACTACTACTACTACTACTACTACTACTACTACTACTACTACTACTACTACTACTACTACTACTACTACTACTACTACGACGACTACTACTACTACTACTACTACTACTACTACTACTACTACTACTACTACTACTACTACTACTACTACTACTACTACTACTACTACTACTACTACTACTACTACTACTACTACTACTACTACTACTACTACTACTACTACTACTACTACTACTACTACTACTACTACTACTACTACTACTACTACTACTACTACTACTACTACTACTACTACTACTACTACTACTACTACTACTACTACTACTACTACTACTACTACTACTACTACTACTACTACTACTACTACTACTACTACTACTACTACTACTACTACTACTACTACTACTACTACTACTACTACTACTACTACTAGCACAGCTACATAGGCAGCATCCTCAGTACACCCCATCCATTATTTTCGTAGCGTTCGTCGTCTTGATCGTTTGCACCATTATTCTAAACACCATGAGCAACATCATCGCCATCGTCGTCGACATCGTCATCGTCATCGTCATCGTCCTTATCATTTTCGCCATCACCATCACCATCGCCATCTCCATAATGTTAATCGTCCTCGTCACTATGCTCAACACATGTTCAGTATCGTTGCTGTCGTCGCCATATGGATACTCATATTAATCAAAATCATTGTCGGCACCAGCACCATCAGCCGCAGCATTGTCATCAGCATCCTCATCATCATTGTTACCGTAGCTCGAAATATGATCAGCATGAGCAGCATCATCATCATTATCATCAACATCAGCATCATCATCACCAGTATCATCATCGTCATCGTCAAAGTCATCATCATTGTGATCATCATCCTCATCAACATCAGCACCATGACCATTATCATCGTGAGCATCATCACCGTCATCATATGCATCCTTATCGGCACAAGCATCGTCACCATCATTATCAGTATCATCATCGTGACCATCATCGTCAGCACCATCGACATCAACGTCATCATCGTCATCACCATCGACATACTAGTAATCAACATTGTCAAAATCATCAGCATTACTACCGTCATCGACAACATCATCATCACCATGACCACCATCATTATCATCATCGTCATCAGCATAGTCATCGCATTCATCGTCATCGTCTACTTCATCATCATCATTATCGCAGTCACCATCCTCAGCATCACCATCATCCGCATCATCTTCATCACGAGTAGCGTCTTCCGCATCATCGTCATCTAGATCATCATCATCATAGCATCTCTCTTCCTCCACCACCTTTTCTCCCCTCCTCCATCTTAAAGGCGCTCCGAAGATCCTCCCTCCTCCTGCCACGTTCCTCTCTTTCCCTCCCTCCTCCTCCCCATCCTTCTGCTCCTCTCTCTCTCTCTCCTCCTCATCCTCCTCCTCCAAAGCCGACATGTGTAATGTGATTGGCTATTTGGGTCGGCTGGAAAACTATAAAAGTGGCGCGTCGAATTCACCAGCGCAAAAAAAAACGCTACCGAGGAACCCCACATATTTATAGTATGGCGTGGGTGGTGATAGCTGAAGTGAAGCATGTGACAATAACGTTGGTGGCCGTTGCCCCGCCGATACCGTTGGTGACGCGAGTCAAAAGGAGAGGAGGGAAGAGAGTGGAGAGGAGATCAGATAAGTTTTTGTTCAATACACATGGAAGGCGATCTGCGGCGCCCACCAGGCAACGAACACCATGGAACGCGATCTTCGGCGGAAAAACTATGATCATATCTGAAAAAAAAAACAAACTCGGCGACCCCCGGGCCCGCTCGGCGGCCCCGGGCCCGGCGGGCTACCAGGTCCATCTGCGGCTCTGGAGGCCCCAAGCGCTCGACTCGAGCGTGCAGTCTCCCTCCTCCACTCGCTTCTTCCGTCCTCCGCCTCCTGTCCTCGCCCTCCCTCTCCCTCCGAATGGGGGGACCACCCCCTGCGCACCACCTTCCAGTGTCAAGAAAGTGCCACGCCTGCTAGGCCCTGCGACATTGGCGCGTATGGAGACCGCGCTGAGGGACCACCCCCTGCGCAGCGCCTCTGGTGTCGAAAAAATGCCACGCCTGCTGAGCCCTGCGGCATTGGCGCGTATAGACACCGGAATGAGGGACCACCCCCGGCGCACCCGTCTGGTGTCGAGGAAATGCCACGCCTGCTAGCCTTCCGAAGTTGGCGCGTATGGAAACCGCGCTGAGGGACCACCCCCTGCGCACCGCCTCTGGTGTCGGGAAATCGCTAGCCCTGCTATGCCCTGCGACATTGGCGCGTATAGACACCCGGGTGAGGGACCACCCCCTGCGCACCCCCTCTGGCGTCGAGAGAGTGCAACGCCTGCTAGGCCCTGCAACATTGGCGCGTATGGAAACCGCGCTGAGGGACCACCCCCTGCGCACCCCCCCTGGTGTCGAGAAAGTGCGCGCCACGCCTACTAGGCCCTGCGACATTGGCGCGTATGGAAACCACGGTTAGGGACCACCCCCTGCGCACCCTCTCTGGTGTCGATAAAGTGCCACGCCTGCTAGGCCTTGCGACATTGGCGCGTATAGAGACCGCGCTGAGGGACCACTTCCTGCGTGTCGAGAAAGTGCCACGCATGCTAGGCCCTGCGACATTGGCGCGTATAGAGACCGCGCTGAGGGACCACCCCCTGCGCACCGCCTCTGGTGTCGAGAAAGTGCCACACCTGCCAGGCCCTGCGACATTGGCGCGTATAGAGACCGCGCTGGCGGACCATCCCCTGCGCACCCCCTCTGGTGTCGAGAAAGTGCCACGCCTGCGAGGCCCTGCAACATTGGCGCGTATAGAGACCGCGCTGTGGGACCACCCCTTGCGCAACCACTCCGGTGTCGAGAAAATGCCACGCCTGCTAGGCCTTGCGACATTGACGCGTATAGAGACCGCGGTGAGGAACCACCCCCTGCGCACCCCTTCTGGTGTCGAGAAAGCAGCTGTGCTGTGATGAGCTGTGCTATGCTAAGCTGAGCTGTGCTGAGCTGTGCTGTGCTATGCTGTGCTGCGCTGCGGTGTGCTGCGCTGTGCCGTGTGAGAAATAGAAGGAGGAGGAGGAGGAGGAGGAGGAGGAGGAGGAGGAGGAGGAGGAGGAGGAGGAGGAGGAGGAGGAGGAGGGGAGGTGTGCGGGAGACGCGGGTGCGACGCGGCAGGGATGAAAACCATAACCCCACCAAACATGGGGGGAAGTAGAAAAGCAGAAGAAAAGCCTGCGGAATTGCAAACGCGGGAAATATAATTGTTGAAAACATAGAAAACTCAAATTTGACAATCCTGGAACTCGAACACTAGAAAAGTGGAACAGTGGGAAGACCATTCAATATGTTGTACTTATCTTATGTTCTATTTTCCGCGTTTGCAAGCCCGCAGGCCACGCTCTTCCGCGGTTCTACCGTTTTACTATTCGAGCTGGAGCGCGCGCGCGTTCCAAGCCGGAGAATGATATGTCGGAGCATGCCTCAAATTCGCATCCGGCAAACCCACTGACACATCACATCTCGGTCTTGGATGGGTATGGGTATGGAATGAAGGGGGGGGACTGGACATAGTGGCAGAAGTCGGAGTAGTGGTGGGGAGGGGAGGGGGCGAATGGTTTTGACAGAGCGGTGGAAAGCCCCCAAGTTCTGAAACGGACACGCCGGGAACGGAAGAGGAGGAGGAGAAGGCGGCGGAGAATGATGCAACGGATCAAGACGGAAATTAGATACAGCTGCAAAGGAGGAGAATAATGAGTTTGGAGGATTTTGAAGGAGGAGGAGGTGGACTATGAGGAAACGGATACGCCAGGAACGCCAGTGAAGGGGAGGAGGAGAAGGAGGAGGAGGAGGAGGGGCGCCAGCCTGTATAAAAGGCCTGGGCGATTTCAGATTTTAGTCTAAGCTCCTCTCTTCGCTCCCCTCTTCGTCTTGCCGCCCTCCGTCTTCTTCCTCATTCCTCTCAATCCATTTTGTAGTGTGTCCACTGCTTCCTACTTTTCGTAATCCGTCCCCCCCGCCCTCTCACCCTGGTACTTTTGATCCCCGTCTGCCATCATCCCTCATCACCTCCACTTTCTCAAGCTTTTCTTCTCACCGTTCGTTCTCGCAATCGCTCTAACCGCCTTTCCTCATCCTCCTCTCATCATCATCCTCCTCTTCCTCATCCTCATCCTCATCCTCATCCTCATCATCATCATCATCATCATCATCATCATCATCATCATCATCATCATGATCATCATCATCATCATCATCATCATCCTCTTCCTCATCATCTCCATCATCATCATGATCCTCATCATCATCATCATCATCATCATCATCATCATCATCATCATCATTTTCATTATCATTATCATCATCACCACTATCGTCATCATTATCATCATCATCACCATCATAAGCATCATCATCGTAAGCAACATTATCA